GGCTCCCGAACGGCTCTTGCCGCCATCGGCAGGAGCTCCGCACACTTTGGCGGGGGGGGGGAGGTTGGGAAACGTGGTCGCTCCAGAAGCATCTGCATGCCACCGCCAAGCAGCCTTGCCCCCCAGGCCCCACAGCCCCCTTCCAAGCTCTGCGGCCGAGCGTGGGCACCCGCAAACCCTACACCCGGGAGGAGGGCGGCGATGCCCCGCTACCCCCGGGGCCCGGCGGGGCGGTGAGGGGCGCGGCGGGCGGTGCAGTGCGCACCTGGGCCCCCGCCCCGCGGAGGCGGGCGGAGCGGGGGCGGAGGGAGCCCGTCCCTCCCCGAACCTCCCTCCCTCCCTCCCTCCCTCCTCCTCCCATTCCTTCCCCCCCCCCCCCCCCCCAATCCCTCCCTCTGTGCGCGCCGGCGGCGGCGCCGCGCTCCCTCCAGCCGCGCCCGCGCAGCCCCCGCAGGTAAGCACCCCGCGGTGGGGCCGGGGGTCCCGCCATCTCCCCCCAACAACCCCCGGGGTGGAGGTGCCCGCTTCACTTTCCCCGGGTGGCTCTGCGTCCGTGGCGCCTTTCCCCCCGCCTTCCCCCCCCCCCCCCCCCCCCCCGCTCTTTTGGGGTGTTTTCTGGAGTGTTTCTGAAACTGGTGCTGACTTCGGCGGGGGTGCGGCGGTGGAAGGGGGAGGCGCGCGTTTGTAAGCGGCGGGGTCCGGCAAAGGACTGGTTAGGGATGGGCTTTAATGGGCTGCTGGCGTCGGGTCAGGCGGCTGTTTCTGCTGGACTAACATCTCTGAGGTTGGCCTGGAATAAGTAATGGACACTTGTTTGATTAAGGGACACCAACAGTGTTGCCACTGTTCGCTTACTTAGGGCCTATCCCGATTTTTTTTTTTTTTTTTTTTTCCATTAAGTCGTTTTGGATTTATTTATACTGAGTTAAGGCAGTGGAAAAAGTCATAGCTAAAAAAAATGGTTGCCACCTCTCTCTCCTGACTTCCTCAGTCCTTTGGACGAAAAGCCTGCAAAAGTCAGATGGGAGCTGTGTCGATGTGTCCATGGTGCTTATAAAGGTAAAGGACAGTAAGAGGATGATTGACAGACATCATAATGGTATGGAGTATTATAGAAGGACCAGGAGGGTGGGGAGCCGGAGGGAAGCTTTAGGACAAAAGCCGTTAGCAAACTGAAGTGAGAAGAGAGAGGTGGAACCCGAGGGACCAAGTTTCTTCCTCTCGCTCCTTTCTGCGTGTTCTTTTTAAATAGCTTCACAGCGGGAAGCCCCAAAAAAGCTCCTTCCTATGGAAATGTGTGAAAAGTTTTCTGTATAGCCCTTTGTCAGAAAAATGTTGGAGTGTCTAAATTTTTTTTTCTTGTGGATTTCTCTGTGAAACAAGCTCACACCTTTCTGATTTCAGTTGTTGGAATAAATAACGAGCTGTTCAAATCTCCCCTTTTTTCTTTCTTTTTTTTCCCTCTTCTTTGCTGCAAATTTTTCGATGATTTGAGGCAAAATTAGCTTGCAGGAGCCTCTGTAGGCAACCTGTGTTCCTAAACTGTTAGGGAATTGAGGTAGCTGCACCCATTTATTACTAAAAACTGCTGCAACTCTATCTTTTCAAAGAAAGTCTTTTGCATGCTAAGTCAGGTTTGGTGTGTTGTACCATTTGGTCTAAAATGAATCACTCTCAGGTCTGAGAGTCATGTTTCAATTTGGCAGCCGGGACTGCATGCCATGCAGCCTGTTACTCTTGTGTGAGGATGGGGTATACTGTAGTACTAAAATAATATGCTCTGGCAATTTCAGCAGTAGACTGAAGCAGTACTCTGGCTGCACAGGCGTGAAGTGAAGTTCTGTCCTGCAGCTCACTAACACTGACTGTAGGCGTGCTGCATGTTTCTCCTTAACTGATATGGGCTAAGACCTACAAATCAGCTTGATAGGTAGGCCTGTGCTTTACTGTTGTTTTTATTAAATTTTAACTACACAAAACCAAATGCTGTCTTTCTCCAGAAGAGATTGACACTGTCTCATCCGATGCAGTTGTAAATGAACTATGGTGATTCTGGCTTTTCAGCTGCAAATAACTAAGGAAATGGTATTTAAGAATACTGAGAAACACTGCTTCATGCTCAGTATGGTGTTGTCCTTATTACTCCCTGGTTGCACTAGTTAGACCCTGGGTGCTATAAACCTCATTCTGGGAAGTAACCAGTAATGGTGCTGGTTGGAGAGAGGAAGATACTGACTGGTGTCTGCTTTCTTTTCCTCCCCCTCTTCAAAACAAATATTGAGGGTGGAAAGGTTAAACAGCTTTTGACACAAAACACATGGGAAATGCAAAATTGAAGTAACACTACACTGAGTATCCATCTTTAATATGTGAAATTAACATGTGAGCAACAGACAGTCATCACTTTGTTCAAGGATATTTAGGGCTGTGTGGTTTCAACCAGTAACTCTGGAAGACTGTAACTAAAATGTAATTCCCTCTCTGCTAAGAAATAGGAGAAAATAAAAATCTGTCTTTAAATTGGCCTTGTACTAAGTGTCACACAGTGAAACTATGTGGGGAATCCAGTAGAGTTTGTTGAAGAAAGTGTTTTGCTCTGGAGCTGAAACCTGGGTAGGTCTTAAGTAAGGGTTGGCTTTTACATTGCTGTGATGAGCCATTAATAACACCTTAATAAATAGTTAATTGTTTCTCAATAGCCTCTCCATATTGAGCTTGCCTTGTCCAATATTCAGAGGTTTAAACCGAAAGGCAAGTATTTCCTCTGAGTAGATTTTGTCTTTGGGAGACCACAACCATCTGACCTTCGAGTACCCAGCAGTTTGTGCATTAGCTCTTGGAGGTACTCTGCCTCCTCCAGATATCTGAAGAGCTGGCTTTGAGCACCTCTGCGTGGTGACCTGCCAGCACTCGCTGAGCACTGTTACCATCTCCTCTGCCGGGTATCTGGCTTCTTTTTTGTGTGGGCACCGGCGAAAACCGAGGGCGGCTCTGTCACCAACAAGGCTGGATGGAGAGGTCTCACAGCCGTTACTCATCATCTTGGTGACAGTCCAAGGACACCTGGAAGATTCTGAGAGCAATACTGCAAGGCTGTTGGCCTTTTCATTAACATTTCCCCCCAAAATTGGAATTTGCGACATTCATGGGGTTTCCTTCCTTTCATAAAGTGCATGTAATTTAAGAGACACTTAAATTCAGTTTAAATCCATCTAAGTGGGTTATTTGAATTGCAACTGCTGCAAGTAATGCTAAGGAAAAGAAGAAAAGAAGCATACAACTATTTCACTGAAAGGAGAATACTGCAGACAGTCATTGATCCCTTCATCATCTTTAGTTTGTGGATTAGTTCTTCATACATAGTGCATTTTACTGCTTCTTCCTTCAAAATGGGTTATGTTTTTTTTTTTGTTTTTAACAGTTTAGCAGTATGAAAAGGAAACAAACTTTTAAAAAAATAGACAGTATGATTGTAAAAAAAAAAAAAAAAAAAAAACAAACAAACAAAAAAACCCCATAAAAACACATGAGTTATCAAAAGGCAATGCTAACAACTGAAAAAAAAAATACTTGCACTCTTTTTTTTTTTTTTTCCCTCCTTCCTCTGTACTTTAAGATTGCTTTCCCTTCAGGTAAGGCCCTGATTTGAAGTCTTAGGATTTAATGAAAGGAGAACACTGTCCACTGCTCTCTAGAAAGATCTGATCATGAGGGACTTGATGTGGTAATGGCATGAACTGGTCGTGATTATGCGTGTTTTTCTGACTTTGCTCTTCTATATGTCACAAAGTGATACTGCAGAAATGTGACACTCCTCAGTAGTGCAGCGTTAGGGCTGAACCTCCACGTTTCATCTTTTCTCTGAGTTTCCTTCATAGCTAACTGAGAAGCTTACAGCTTCATCCATGGATCATAGATGTCAATGGTAAAGTCTTTAGCAGCATTGCACAGCTTTGGATCAGGTACAAGGCTAATATGTTGCCTTGCCAGAAATGAAAAATTATTCCCAGGACAGAGGAAGGTTCTATCAAGGGAATAAGAGCCGCTGTTCTGCTTACATTTCAGGGGATTTGAATTTTTCAAAACAAGTAAAAGCATTGCCTGTGCATACTTGCACCTTCATTGCCATACTGCAGCAAATAACAGTGAAGATCTGAAGCAAGTCTGGTGCCTTCTTTTGATTTCTAATGAGACTAGAAGAGAATTCTGATAAGCGTCTGCCTTTGTATATCCATATCTCTCCTTTGTTGATCCGTTGCTGTTTCTTGACTGCCTGACACTCTTCCCCCACACCCAAGGTGATTAACAGCACACCTGGCTTGAAAAGTCTTGGTCATTGTTTGGCTGAAGGTTGCACTCTAGGATCAATTTTTATTTTTTAATGACTGATGCCTCTTATTCTTGAAAATGTCATTTCTGTGTATGCAACATTTAGCACTGGCAAGGAAAATAGCCTATTTAGTGCCAGTTTGGGTAGTATACATGTGTCCCTATCCCACATGGCAACTCCATGATCATTACATTTCTCTAACAAGCTGTTGAAAAGCACCTTTTGAGGTGGTTAAGGCATTGGATTTCTGTATAGAGGAACAATAGCCCTGCTCAGATCAGTGCAAAGTCTTCAGAATTTCCTGACAGGCACAGACTGAAGTAGTTTGTTAAACACATTTTTCTGTCCTGCATCTATTGCCTACTGGATCTGGCTCTGTCTTGACCCACCTAGCGTAGGCAATTATGTTAGTGCACATAAACGGATAAGCACTGGTGCGTTTACCGCAGGGTTAAGAAGCATTTCTTCTTAAAAAGCGAACCTGCTTCTGACAGATGAGAACTGCCACTGCCTTGCGTGGCTGCTCTGGTGCAAGGAATCCCGGGTAAGGCACGCGTGCCCTGCCAGCAGCACGGCCGGGGCGGGGGAAACCAAATCCCTCCTCCTCGGGCCACTCCTGGGATAAATAGCCTGGACGGTGTCCTGGACTGGGGTGCGTGGAGAGTGTTTTACTTTGCAAACGCCTTGAAGATTATTGCAAGTGGAGTTGGATGATGACCTGACTGTCGTTTCTGATGGGGACATGGGAGGTAAGCATTGCCCCTCTTCGTTTCTGACCCGTGGATCGCAGCATGGTCTGATGCTGAGGGGAGGGTAAATAGCTTGGATTGGTGTCACCAGAAATGCTTCCCATTGCAAAAGTGGGAAAGCTGCATCACTTTTAGGAGGAAACATGTTTTGCGGGCACAGGTACTGTATTGGTAACAACTGCATTACAGTTTTGTGCCAACTGGATTATTTTTATTTTAAATTACTTTACCTTGAGAGGCATTGGAACTGCTTGGTTTTTTGGGCTTCCATGTGACATACTCTAGATAAAATTTGGAGGTGCTTTCACCTATTTAAAAATACAAAAGTGCCAAGTATGTGAGCCTAATATTATCTTTCTGCTTTTGCTTCTGACTGAATAACAGGCAAACATCTGAAGTGGATTTCTGAGGCTGCTTGAGAAAGTGCTGATGAGTTTGATAGTTGTATATGCTGAACATCAACTCACTGTAATATGCCAGCATGAGGCCTACACACCATTTAGCTTTTTCTTTAGGAATTTACATGCCACAGTGACCTTCTGAGTAGGCTGAATTTCACAGGCACTCTCTAGACAGTACATCTGTTACTTTGCCAGCTAGAAAATGTATTGCATGCTGCAGTGCTTGCAGGAGCAAGCAAAAAAGCATTGGATTGACATCAAAGGCAAGATCTTTCTGTACAAAATGTTGGAGATTTTAAGAGTGGTAAAAATCTGGCAAAGGAAATGCATACTGTTTTTTATTGTAAGCCCCCTTCTCTCCCTCCTCCCCCCTCCCTTTTTAGGGTGTGTATGTCAAATACAAAATGGTGCTGGTACATTATTTATAGGTGCAGTTTGCAGAGACTTTTCTTAGAAGTTCTTTGGCCATTTCAGGATGATTGTTTTTAGCCTAGATGGCGAAATGTATGTATAACTAGAGCAGTATCCTTTTTTTATTGTGAAGAAGTTAGCTGCAGCTCTGTTCAAATTTTTTTTTTTTTAAAGTAGTGTTGGGTGAGTATTGAATGTTTACTGCATAGAGAAACTTGTATCTTCCTTGGCTGGGTGGGTGAATATTTAAGAGCACCAAGCTTAACGTGAACTCCAGCAAAGATTTACTGGTATCTGAAAAGTCAAAGGAGATGCTGTACAGGTCACATCTATTTGTTAGGTGGCTACACTTCAGGCTGATGTTTGCAGGAAGGAAGAAAGACTTCTCACCTCTCAGGAAGGAGTAGCTACATACCTTGCAAGTGTGGCAAGTATTGTTTAGTCTGTTGCAATCAGACATTGTTTAAAGGGTCTGTAGCCACTGGGTTTCACTGAATGTTTAGTCACAGAAAGTGCAATCTGCTTCTGACTCGTCGTGGATGTCAGACCTGCAGGACAGCGTCCCACAGCCTTGAGCTGGTGCTGGTGACGGAGCGAGAGAAGTGGGGTGGCATTGCATAGCTGCAGTGTGTGAAGGGCAGCATGCCTCCCCCTCCCCTCCCATCCCCAGCCAGGCTACAGGTGTCACCAGGATGCTGGTGCACAATCAAGTTTGTTTGCTGCTCGTTTCCGAATCAGCTTCACTAGTGCCAGGCGAGGTGGAAGGGCTGATGCTGCCAGGTCACTGTCCCTCCAGCTCACAGCACAGCAGCCTGGCGGGTGGTGAGCATCTCTGCTCTCCTGCTGCTTTGGGGCAAGGAGAAGTGAGTTGTCGAGCAGCGGTGTGAAGCTGTAATGTAGAATGTAGAGGGGCGATTTGGCTACTTTGCCTCAGGTTGTGCTTATAGGATTAAACTTTGTAGTACGTTTCTGTAGTTGTCTGCTAGTTTTGAAAATATAATTATTGAAGTACTAAAGTGTTTGGGAAATTGGTACAGGAATGCATGATAGACCAGAATAGATTCAGACTGATGACAATAAGCGTGTAAATCCCAAAGGACAGTGCTGCACAGTAAATTCTGTATTAATGCTGTTTTGCATGTCATTGACTTTTGCACTTGGAAGATGCATTTCCAAATATGTAAACAACTCTGCTGAAGTGTTTGATTGGTAAATTACTGGTGCAGGAGGATACCTTGAATGTTCCCTGTGTCCATGCCAATAATGTCCCAGGGCACTCCTGTCTTGTCAGGGGGAACCAGCCGAAGTACTAAGAGTATATTGTCCTATATGCCATGGTAACACCTGGGATGTGCTATGAGTCATATCTGAGCATGTGTTTACCATCCACATAATCATTAGATTCAGTTGAAGAGTGAAGTCTTGGCTTTTCATGAAGGATTCTTTGGGGTGTTCACCTGTTTCTATCCACATGTCCCCTCACTTACAGCTACATGCTTGGAGATATAAGGCCCGTGCTCTAACAGGGTCACTGCTCCCTCATTCCTCTTGTCGAAGAAATGGGATTCACTCATTTTCCCAAGATGTTGCAGTGAGGTAATCAACATCAGGCGAATTGATGTCTGGATAGGTGCCCCGTGTTCAAGGGGCATCTTGGATGTGATGTGTTGTACTTAAACAATACAGTTATAAATACCTATTGAGTTTAGTGGTCTTTCTTTTGCTTGTTGTCCCTCCCAAAATGTGGCAGACACAAAGAGCAATGCTGTGGAAATGAGCCAGGGTGCCTTTGACTTGACCTGAGGATGGTTTCTGTGCAGTGCTTTGAGAGCTGTCCTGATGTGGCTGGTAGCGCATCAGGTTCCTTTTGCTCCTCCTAAAGCTTTGGATGGAATTGGTGAAAACTTCACCTCAGTGCAGTGCATTTCCCCATACTGAAACCTTGCAAAATATACAGAATACTTCTGTGAATTCATCTGTTTGCTCCCATGGTCTTTCAGCTTCTTGTTTACAGCAGTTGCAGTGTCCTATTTCAAATACCCCATGCAAGTGAGACTGGAAGCTGACTGGGACTTCAGGGTATTCCTGTGATCAAAGCGATGCTGGTAATTAGTTAATAGACTTGAAATAGGTCTCTAGAATTAGTGCAGTTTTGCAAATAGTTGATAAGAATAGCATAGCTTAGTGCCTGGTTCTCCAAGAAGTACGGTATGTTTCTGCTACCTGCCTTGGGTTTCTTAAGTTTCACACGCAGAATCATCCTAAAAGGTTCATCCTAGAGAAAGAAATGCAGAGGGAGATGTGCAGATTGATTGCAACCTGATGACTGGAGGGAATTACATGATTGTAGAACACGTAAATGCCTTAAAACTAATTTGCCTGAACAAATATTTCTGCTGTGGTCCTGCATATTTCTGTCCTCAGCATCTCCTCCACAAAGTTTCTTACGAACAGAAGCCAGTTGCCCAGATTTTAAGGACAAAGTTCTGGTTGAGAGACTTGTTTACCACTTTTTCAGTCATCCTCTTTAAATTTTTCTCAATATGCCATGAAGACTCTGTGAGGAGACTCTTGGTACTATTATTGTGGGAAAGCAGTTGCTTTTTCCTTCAGGAGAGTGGCACGGAACTGCAGGAGACTCTTTGGCATTGAAGACACATCCTGCTCCTTTGTGCTTCAGCTTTGGCAGGCAAGTGGAAAAGGAGGGAGAGAAAATACTGACTTTGCGTGGAGCTACCAAGATGAGGTGATGTTTCTTGGTTAGCAGCAAACTCAGAGGAAGCTGCTGTACATCTGCCACCCATAATCATGCCAGAAGTCATCCCATGCACTGTATCTCCCCCTGACCATTCCGCTTGTGGTTTGATTAACCCCCTCTGAGACCCTGCAGTGGGGACTCTTGCTGGTATAAGCTGCTTCTCCACTAGAGGGGGATGCCAGTATAGCTATACTGGGAAACTTTGAGGATTTGGTTAGTTATATTTTACTCTTCCTGGCTGGCAGCGTTGCCTGTTGGGTTCAGTGGAGCGTCCTTGGAAGGAGGCTGCTGCAGGGCCAAAGGCAGATGGGGCCTAGCAGTGGCCTTACGCAGCAGCTGATGGAGTAACCAGCACTGGGTTTCTCCAAAACAGTGGCAGTGCTGCCAGCATGCTGTGACACATGCTTGTATAGAATCATAGAATGGTTTCAGTTGGAAGGGACCTTTAAAGATCATCTAGTTCCCACCCCCCTGCCCCGGGCAGGGCCCCCTTCCCCCAGCCCAGGGTGCTCCCAGCCCCGTCCAACCTGGCCTTGAACCCTTCCAGGGAGGGGGCACCCACAGCTGCTCTGGGCACCCTGGGCCAGCGCCTCACCCCCCGCACAGGGAAGAACTTCTTCCTTATATCTGAACTAAATCTACCCTCTTTCAGTCTAAAACCATTACCCCTCGTCCTATCCCTACACTCCCTGATCAAGAGTCCCTCCCCATCTTTCCTGTAACCCCCTTTAAGCACTGGAAGGCTGCTCTAAGGTCTCCGCGGGGCCTCCTCCTCTCCAGGCTGAACAACCCCAACTCTCTCAGCCTGGCCTCATAAAGGAGCTGCTCCAGTCCCCCAGTCATCTTCGTGGCCTCCTCTGGACCTGCTCAAGCAGGTCCGTGTCCTTCTGCTGTTGGGGGCCCCAGAGCTAAATGCAGTACTCCGGGTGGGGTCTCACCAGAGTGGAACAGAGGGGGAGTATAAGGTTGGCTGATCTAGGAGAGGCTGCACAGCAGTGGGAGAAACCAAAAATTAGACCCAGAATGCCTAAGTGGACTTTGTCAGGGGTCAGAGGAGCTCTGCATGGGCCTTTGGCTTTGGTGTCATGGACACAGCTGGTGGGGTGGAATTGTGGGATGCCTAAAAAAATCTGTTTTGTGGGTGTATTTCAGTATGTTCTCCTTTTGTGGCCTAGATCACTTGGACTTGTTAGTTTATTTGTGTAGTCTCAAAAGGAGCCTTAGTGGTTCCTGAGTAATTCTTTATGGTTTATGTTTTTGTTACAAACTGTCTTAAGGAGGCTTTGAAGTGTGTGTGCATTTAATGTTTGTACCGGTGAGTTTGAGCCAAGCTACTACTTAGTTTTGTTTGGTTTTTTTTTTTTTTTTTAACAATAATCCATTGCTAATCAGTTGCACTTTTCTCCAATAGGATTGCTTTTTTTCCTTGC